AGAGAGAGAGAGAGAGAGAGAGAGAGAGAGAGAGAGAGAGAGAGAGAGAAAGAGGAGATGTTTGGGGTTAAACTATGTTTTGTAATTGGGAGAGTAAGATTTGTTTAAAGTGTGTGATGTCTGCAGATATCTGGATAGTTAATTAACTTAAGAGTCAGTTGGTGGTGGGTTTTGGAAATCATTTGGGCAGAAGAAAAGTAGGATTGTGAGAAGAGAGATGGGATTTATGGGGCACAAGTGATCTTGAGGAAGCAGGAACTAGAGCATGAAGATGAATCTTGATAATGGAGGTGACAGTCTAATGTGGCCATGTGACAGGAAGGAGCTATCATTCATATAAAAAATATAGTCAGAAACCGCTAAAGGACTCTCTTGTATATGAGAGAGATGGGGTAGGAGGTCTTTGAGAGTTTGGGACAGGACTGTAGAGGACATGAGGAATGTTGAGACAAATGGATAAGTATGGTGGGATTAAGGGAAGGACAGGTAAAAAATGTGAGCGATGAATTTTTGATAGTAGAAGTTTGGAGGGATGGAATCTGAGATGGTGGAAGATATTGGAGTTGAGGGAGATATTCGTAGGAATAGATTGTGTGAGGAAATCAATAGATTGTGAGAAGGGATCCCAGAATTAATTTGTTAGCTATAGAGATGAGAATAAGGGGTTTGGGGACTGCGGAGGGTGAGAGATTCTACAAACTGAAGCTGAGGAAGGGAGGAGGAGGGATGCAGGGGTGTGCTGGGAGCTGTGGTCAGGGTAAAAGGCAAAATTTATGTCACTTCTGGAGAGGATATCATTTTGTAGTAGGGGAATAGGACATGAAGGAATGAAGAGAAAAATCTTTGAAAGGAGCAAGTTAAGGGAAGAGTCTGGAGGACTGGTTGTGTATTCCGAGTGTGGCTGAGGGAGAGGTGTTAGCATAGAGAGAAGGGAAGAAATATGAAACAACTTTTTATGTACCTAAATCCCCTTTTCAGACCCATAAATGAATTTGTTCAAGCTTCTATATCTTTAGGCATTAACACATTTTTGGACTGTCAATAATTTTAGACCCATCTTAGACCCTGTATCATTTATTTTCCCTGATCTATATAACTTACTTGTCTGTTTCTTTTTTTTTTTCTCCTTTGTCACTCAATGAGTGGCAGTGTTCAATGCTTTATTAAATGTGTATTAGGGAGCGAACCACAATTGATGATATATAGACAATGAAGCCAGGAATGCCAGATTGTTTTCAGCAGAGCTTTTGGCTGACTGCAGCTAGTGATGTTCTCAGACAGCTGAGGCAGCTCTCAGTAGTGCTCCTCAGGCCTGGTGGTGTGACTCAGCCGCAAAGTCATTTCCCATTCTGCGAATTAGGCTTTCGTCTGCTAACTAAATGAATCAAATAAACAAATCATGAAACACTGATTATGAATCCAAGTATTTCACAGCATGGGAATATCCTTGACTTCTCCATCAGTGACAGGAAGAAGTTTCTGGAAGGTAGGTCTAGAGAGGCAACTGATGCAGAGCACAGCTTAGCCCTGAACAGCACTGGTGTCAACACCGCCGCTGTGGCCCAATGGCTGCCTGGAGCAGAGTGGCAAAGGGCAGGCTGGCAGGCATGCAGGGCTACTTCTTCATCTCCAGGATGGCACTTCCAGGTCCGTGGTTCTTAGCACTGCAGATGTTACAGTATTGTGCAGGAGCGTTCATGCTTGACATGGGTAGGCACTCCTTGTGGAACATGTGTCGACAATGGAAGACCACCACACTGAAGGGCTTAGCTGCATCTGTTGGGAGGATGGGAGAGAGGCGCGATTCAGATATTCTCTTCATTGACGAGAACACATTTCATTTGGGTTCGGTGCATCTTCTTCAGTAATGACAAAGAGTCAGCTACGAGGATTTTCTTGCAGCCTTCCCGAAGCAGAATCTGCAAGTTATAATCTTGCAGAATTTTAACTAAGGAATCTCTCAAATTGGGAATCTCCATTCCTTCCTTTATACGGTGGATTAGTAGGATTGGGTCCACGTGTGTGCCAATGTTGTTTAACAAGCCTTGTAGAAGAGACAGTTTACCTTCTGAGCCGAATGGGAAACAGTCGGAGTGCCCTCAAGATGATTATGGAGGAATTACATGATGTTGATAAAGCAATTGAGTTTGCCAAGGAGCAAGATGATGGAGAGCTCTGGGAAGACCTGATTCTATATTCCATCAACAAACCACCATTTATTACTGGCTTGTCTGTTTCTTATAATCTTCAGAAACTTTAAATCTTTATTAGTGTGAAGCTCATTATCAAGGCAAACTGTACATATGAAATGGACTGACCAGGCATCTGGGTGTTTACTGTTGTTAAAGCTACAGTTAGTCATCAATGTCCTAAGAGACCTGTGAACAATAAATCTGAGTATGAAGTATAATTTAAATGGTTGTTATATCAATTAAAATAGCCAAGGCCTATTGGACAGTCACCCTAGGCTCCTCTGTGGTTTTTGGGAGTAGAGGTTCCAGGACAGCATCTGTCTTTGGCTACAGGGTCAGAAGATCTGACAGACTTTCCTTTGGAGCAGGGACTTGTGAGGAATCCTCCTACCTTATCTAGGCCAGGGGGGCAGTCAACTCCACAGTGTCTTGTGTGTCCACAATTTGGACAGGGTCATGGTGGCATTTGAGATGAAGGGCCATTTTACACCCAGTGGCTGGCTTTGCCACATTTAAAGCAAGCTCCAGGTGGAGTTCTTTTGTGGCAATCATCTTCTTTGGAGGAGTTAAGGGTACTGCTAGGAGCTGGCATGTCTTTCTATTAAAAGATTTTTTTAATTAAACATTTTAAATGCTATATTTAGCAATTCTCTGAAGGGTTTGAGGACCATTATATACTAAATACCTGGAGTATACAAACTTTGTTTGTACTTACTTGTTTTCAAAGCTTAACTTTGAAAGGATATGTATATGAGTCTAAATGAAACTTATTTCTGTAATTAATCATGACTGTAAATATAGTTATGAACATTTTAAAGAATAGGATTATTTATGAGGTGATTGATAATTAGCTGGTATGTTTTAATTATCTGTAACTATTTATACAGAAGGTAGTGTCAGGGCAGAAAAGGATTAAGGCAGGAAAGTCACATGGACATGTTATCATCAGGCTGTAGACTGTACAGTAGTTGATTTGGTTATTAACAGTTAAGAATTTGGCTTTAGGAAAGGAGGGGGAGTGGGAGCGGGCTGAAAGGAGGGGGCTTTGTGGGGTGAGGAGTGAGGAGGGGCTGTTGGAGCAGCATAACTGGAACAAGTGGTGGAGGAAGCAGGGGCGGAGGTGTGGGGAGTTTGTGTATGGTAGCCCTGTAAGGGGCTGGCAATGCTGTAGAGCTTCAAGGAGAGAAGGAGTGACTGGTTGTTAAGAAGTGTTGGAAAGGCTGATGTGCTCTGTGCATTTGCACCGATGAGCTCAGGCTGGCTGGGAGGAAGGGAGCGAGGGACTTTGGCACCTGTGGGCAGAGGGCATGGTAACAGCCACTCAAGTTTGGGCCCCAGAGGCAAGACCTGTGAAGCTGTGGGCTTGGGCCCGTCTCTGCAGCACTACAGGCTGGGCTAGAGGAAGTGGTGGAGGGGGCAGTGGGATCCAAGGACATAAAGGCTGATCTGTGCGGCATGGTGAAATCCAGGTGGATGGAGGAGTGGGGAGGGTGGCAGATGAAGGAGATTATTGGGAAGGGAACTGGCAGAGAAGGAGGGGGAGAGGCTGGCAGCATGGACAGTGCAGCAAGTGGTGGGCCCAGAGTGCCTGGCAGTCAGTGTTCCTGTGGTTCACAGAGGATTCAATGGGACATGAGATAGCACAACGGCTTACAACAGAGTTTAGAAAAGTTCAGAGAGTGTGGGAGTCACACAGACAGCTTGGAACAGACAGAAGAGAAAGCAGAGCCAGAAAAGATCTCTTTATATTTTCCTTTATATTTTGTGCTCACAAATGTGGTGATATTGTGTTCCCTAAAATACTTATATAATAAACTTATCTAGGGTCAGAGAACAGAACAGCCACAATATTAAACATAGAGGTTAGGCAGTGATAGCACACATCTTTAATCCTAGCATTCCAGAGGCAGAGATCTGCCTGGATCTCTGTGAGTTTAAAGCCACACTGGAAACAGCCAGGCATGGTGACACAAGCCTTTCATCCCAGGAAGTGATGGCAGGGAGCAGAAAGGTATATAAGGTGTGAGGACCAGGAACTAGAGTCTGGTTAAGCTTTTAAGCTTTTTAGCACAGTTCAGCTGAGATCTATTCGAGGGAAGACACAGAGGCTTCCAGTCTGAGGAAACAGGATCAGCTGAGGAAGTGGCAAGGTGAGGTGGCTGTGGCTTGTTCTGCTTCTCTGATCTTCCAGCTTTAACCCAATAACTGGCTCCGGGTTTGTTTTTAGTAATAAGATTATTTAAGATTCATGCTACACATAAAAGTTGTAAAGATCATAGATACTGTTAAGATCCAGAGAGTTCTTGTGGCAGGAGGGGTCACTTATATTGGTAATGTAGTGGATACAGAGGTCAAGCCTGTGTATTATAGGAAATGAGCTTAGGAGATTTGATGTCTGAGTGTTATAGCCATTTGAGATTCTGGAGGAGACATCCCAAAGGTGAGTTAGTCAGAATGGAGGAGGTGAAACCCATCACCCTTGATGCTAGTGGGCCAAAAGTTGAGATATCAGGTGTCCCAATGTATCTTGAGAGGCTGAGGAATGGTCTCTTGGAGGGAAAGGATCATCGCCCAGGATCTAATCACCAAGAGAAGGACCCCAGTGGATCTTAAGAGAAATCTGAGACATGTGGATAGAATTTTTCAGAGAGGAAATGGGCCCTGGATTCTGGAAATAGGACCATCAAGAGTGAAAGAGAAAAGCCCTCTACCAATCCAGATTGGATAGAATGTGTGTGGCTGGACAGAATGAGTACGACTGGCAGCCAGTCCTTGGGAGTACAGCATTACCAGTGGAGGTTGTGGTGGGGCATAATCTACCCAATCCCATAGGACAGAGCAGGGGCATTTGACACTCAAATCCTGTCACTTCATAATCAGGGGATGGTTTAGGATGGCCAGGGTGGTTTACTTACCAATTAACCCCTGTTCGATGAGGGAATCTGGTGCCAGGAGGACTGGGTCATGTGAAAAAGGGTTGGGGAGGTGTTACTGGCCTATGCAAGTCATGGCACCAATGAAGACCACCCTTCCACCCACACAGTGGGGGCTTCCTCCTAGATCCTGAATTATGCACAAACTGCACCCAAACACCTGTTCTCACAGAGAGATCCTTTATTAAGTGGGGAAGTTCTGACTCAGGCAGAAAACAGCAGCAAATGACCTTGCAGGAGTACTTTTTAAGAGAAGGTAAGGTCTGTGTTAGAATGGGCTAGGATAGAGTTGTAAAGGAGATAGATGGAGAGGGAGAAGGGGAATGGGACAGGAGAAATGGAGAAGGGGTATTTATCCTGGAGGAAAAAAAAAAAAAACCTGCCTCTGCTTAGATAGGAGACAGACATGGCACACAGGCAAATGGCAGTTTATAAAGGTGAAGGGGGAAACCCCATGTTAGGATTAGGAGTTTAATTTTAATTGGGCATCTTAATTAGGTTAAAAAAAAAGGGGGGGGGAGTCTGTTGATTGTTGGACTTTGAAAATTAGCCTCAGGAAGAGGAAGTAGCCAAATAAAGCAACAGACCAAGGTGGCTAGCTTTAGGAATGTAATCTAATGGTTTTTCAGCAAGGCAGAGGGAATGAGGGAGAAGGATAAGACCTGCCTGAGACAAATGCTTGAGCGGACTAGTATCCTTTCACATGCAATATCCAAAAAGACAGTTTTACAAGAGTTCTCCCTTAAAGCCATGGCTCTGTGTACTTCTGTAATATTTCTTTGCTTCAAAGTATCCAGTGTCTTATATTACAAACCAGAATGTGGTGATATTTTGTTTGCACTCTTAAGAAATAAAATTTGCCCAAAGATCAGAAGACAGAGCCAGCCATTGGATTAACTATAGAGACCAGACAGTGGTGGCATACATCTTTAATCTTAGCACTCCAGAGGCAGAGGCAGAGCTCTGTCTGGATTTCTGTAAGTTCAAGGCCACACTGGGCTACAGCAGATTAATCTAGTCTAAAAGAGAAACAGAGCCAGGCAGTTGTGGCACACACCTTTAATTCCAGCACTTGGGATCACACACTTTTAATCCCAGCACTAGGAAGGCTGTGACAGGAAGTGATATGGCTGGACAGAGAAAGGAATATAAGGCAGGAGGAGACAGGAACTCTGGCTCTTTCAGGCTGAGGAGTTTGTGAGGTAAGAAGTGGTGGCTGTGGCTGCTCTGCTTCTCTAGTCTTTCAGCTTTCACCCTGATTTCTGGCTCTGGGTTTTTATTAAAACCAATTAGGATGTGTGCAACACCAGAAGTCTGAGCAGGTTTTTAAATTTACTAGATTCTGATAGAAAAATATCTATATTGTTTTATTGACTATGGCAATTTTCTTTTTTTCTTTTTTTTTTCTTTTTTTTTTGGTTTTTCAAGACAGAGTTTCTCTGTGTAGCTCTGAGCCTTTACTGGAACTCACTTGGTAGCCCAGGCTGGCCTTGAACTCACAGAGATCTGCCTGGTTCTGCCTCCTGAGTGCTGGGATTAAAGGCGTGCATCACCATCAACCAGCTTCATCATCATTCTTTTATGTGCATGGGCTTTTTGGTTTTGTCTGTACCACTCATGTTTCTGAGATCCTCTGAAGAAGAAAAAGTGTTGGATCCTCTGGACCTGTACTTACAGACCATTGTGAGCTGTCATGTGGGTGCTGAGAACTGAAACCTAGTTCTGGTAGAGCAGTCACTGCATCCAGGTATTGAGCCATTTATTTCTCCAGATCCACATTCATCATCTCTAAGTGTCAGTAGTAGGACAATGGTGCTCATAGCTGTGGTTTTCCCTTCTAAAATTTTTCTTCCTGTTTTCACAACTTACTGCATATTAATGCAAACAATAATTTTTAGAATTCCAGTTGGAGGCTGGCTGGAGAGATGGCCCAGTGGTTAAGAGCACTGGCTGTTCTTCCAGAGGACCTGAGTTCAATTCCCAGCAACCACATGGTGGCTCATAATCACCTGTAATGAGATCTGGTACCCTCTTCTGTATGTGCAAGTATGCATGCAAGTAGAACACTGTATACATAATAAATAAATCTTAAAAAAAAAGAATTGCAGTTGGAGAAATGTTAGCCATTGTTTCTTCAAAGATTTAAAAATTAGAATTTAAATTTTCAGTTATAGGCCTTTTAGCACAAGAAATTTCTTTTGTTTTCCCTTCGTGGTTTTCCTTCCTCTGCTTGGCTCTCTCATCTCTTCTCTCATCATCACCTCATCACCTTCTAAGTGACTGAAAGTGGAGTATTTGCTGCTCTCTAGAGAAGGTAATGTCCTACAACTGTGGCCAGACTCTGAGTTTCTTTTTTAAAAACTGATTCATCACTGTATATTATAATAACTCATACAAGAAAGATACAGAAAACCATGCTGATTAAGCCAAGTAAAAATATATGAGTTATTTATTAGCTGACGACAAAGAACAGGCTCATGCTTGAACATCTCTTGATGCTGAAGCTCAGGGGTACAGCATTTTTAAAGGTAAAAAATCAAAGATCATGAATTACACTAATGTTACATGAGAGCCAGAGTAACCTTGAAACATTGATTTCTTGCAGAACAGAGTAATTATGTTAGACTCAACATTATAATTATTTTTGCATCATACCTACTTCAGTTATTTTAACTTAAGTTTGAATAAACATTATTTTGGCTAATACATCTAGACCATGGAAATCTCAATTGTTTTTTCCGGATAGATGTTGTGGGTGAGTAGAGAGATAAGAGCTGTCTAAGCAAACACAACATGGAGTCAGGACAAGATGGTGCTGCATTAGTCCCTGCAATACATCTGTGAGTGCATATGTGAGTTTCTATGTGTATCATGCTCATGCAGGAGCCCAGGGAGATGAGAAGTGGGTGTCTGATCCAATGGAAGTAGTTACAGACTACTGTGAGATGGCATGTGGGTGCAGAGAATTGAACCTGTGGCCTCTGAAGGAACAGTAAGGACTCTAGTCCAAGACTGCAAGTTTCTTAACTTTTTCAACCTAAGTTGCATTTGCTATTTATTGTTTTTCCATTAAACCCATTCTTGCTGTCTCAAGCAGAATCATCAACACACTTCTTGAACAGTCAAACAGTATCTCCAGGTTAGAAATCTTACACTGGGTGAGGCTGGCTGCATCTCGGGTCTATTTACTAGATACACTGCAACTCAAAAATGTTTGAGCCCTGGGAATACAGACCAGGCCGTACAACATAGTGTAAGCAGATTCCAAAAAAACCCCAAAATCCAACCAAGCAACATTGTAGCTGGAGTTTTCCTGCCTTGCCCACAGTCAGGACAAATCTCTGTC